TACTTAAGCATATAAAACATACTATCGTGTGTTACAAATCAAAAAGAATCGAGTCCTAGAGTTGGTTCCATCATTCACAATAGTCATATACATTCAACTCTAGCCATAAGAATATCATCATGGGGCATCATCAAATTGTTCCTACAAACTATCTTAACACTTACAAATACCATGGCAAATTAGTTCTGCTAACCCTATTAATGCAAAGTAAATGTCCTAATAAGGACATTACCTCCCCCAAACTTGAAAGAAACATTATCCTCAATGCAACAGGAAAAACTAAATGAAATACTAGACTAAATGCTATATGTAATGTAATGCAATACAAGTTACCGCGACTTGTTTATGGTGGTGATGATGAGGTGGTTGTGCTGAGCCTAGGGCACTTTTTCAACAGGGGAGGACTTGGCTGTTTGAAGTCCGATTCTGATTCACCGGGAATAGTACTAGCTCTATGACGCTTCTTGTCAGCTGGAGACACAACTCGTCTCACAGATTTCTTCAAGGGCTTTGTGGTCCTTCTCGGGTAGCTTGTTGTGGCATTGTCGAATGTTTGACCATTTTATCAGCAGATGTCGTAGCAACAGGGGAGGTCTCATATGATAGCTTGGGATTGGTTTGGGGATGGAGTTCTTGTTCTTGCTCATCTCCTTCAGGTATGTTGGTCGGTGGATTATTAGACTGTGGCTCGATTGGGGGATCGTGCAGAGCTGTATCTCACGATATCGTGATATTTCTCATTTAATGCAGTATGAAGTCAGGGAAAGTCGAGAGATCTTGGACCCACTGAGGAAGCAGAGCATTTTCTTGAAGTAGAACTCTATCACTACGTTTCGCTGCTTAATGTAAGCAAAGAATGTGCATAGATTGCCCGATAAAGTATCCACATGTTCCCTCATATGCTTAGAAGACTTAACAGCAATAGCAACTAATTCTGCCACAATATTTGCCTTTGCCCTAACTTCCACATTCTTCTCAGGTTATTTTTCATTGAAACCTAACAATATGGGAAGATTGGCCTTTGTGATGCCCTTCAATCCCTGTAAAAACTCATCGAAGTCGTCCTCAATGACCCCCTTTTATGACAAAGTGCAGTGATGAGATTTAGGAAGACCAAAGCTCTTGCTTATCCTTTCAAACATGTATGTGTTTTCTCCATAATGATATTGCCATCATCAATCAAGCAACCCACAAAGTATCATCATCTGGGGTAGCGATATCGTCGTGTTGTGGAATGTAGGTATCAACTTAGTTTTTATGAAATGATTCTACATCTTGGCCCTCGGTTGGAGTCAGTCTCGATCCACTGTGCGTCAACTAATTTACTTGCCATTACATTCGGTGTTTTGAAAGCATAGATCCATCAACATACCCTAGTATGCCTTATTTTTGGCCTCGTCAACAAACTTTGAATGATGATAAACAATATCCTGCATTTTAAAATAATGATTAATGGTAGGGGTAAAGTGAATAAGTTTACCCTTAACAAAAACAGAATGTTGCGTCGGTTCTGAAATATTTGTATAGAACTCTTTAACAATGGAGGCATTGACATTTCTCGGGTGTCTAGTCTAGCAACTACATCCAACATATCTGCCCCTAAATCTTTGTTGGCCTCATTGAAGACAAAGCCTTGTTTGTAGAAAACTTTTGATAACTCCGTAAAAATGTCATATTTTGGACCTTTTCACTTAAGTTATTGACTATCTAAGAGCCCATTTAGGATCATATAGATGCATTTATGAGCATATAGTTACATGTGGTGGAATTTTGTTTGTCGCAACATTTTATTTTGTAATCGGTGTTGTGTTATGAGGAATGTGTTTTGTTTGATGATGTGCAGGATTTGAGAGCAAGGATAAGCAAAAGGGAATTGCCATGACATGATGAAATTACTGAGCAAAATGCGATTGTTGCGACAAATCATACGACATTTCTGGGCAGAAAAAATCAAAGAAGATATTTTTAGTAAGAGCCAACTGTCATTGACTATACGTGATTTCTGCAATCAGCCATATAGGAGAGGCCCATTACCACCTATGCACCATATTTCACATAAAATGAATGAATTTTATTGTACTATGGTAATTTTAACACAGAACCCTAGGTTCATTCTCTCCTTATAAATAGAAGATGAAGCCACAATGAAAAAACACACTTTGAAACTTTTAGACAGCCGCCAAGAGCCTAAAGATTTGGATAAAAAGATCTCTCTTTTTTTCGTCAATCATTTTTGTCATGGCATTCCTCCGTTGACAAGCTAGATGGAGTGGCGAACTAGGTGTCCGAGAGGAGCTAGATCGCTGGGTCAGTTCGTGGTGGCCGAGAGAAGCTCCAGTAGTGCACGTTGAAGGCTTTTCCACCTTCTCTTTGCTCTTTGCTTTCATATTTTATCATTTGGGTTGTAAGGAACGTATTAACTTGCTTTGTGCTTGCTTATTTCGAACCCCACCACGAACTAATTTTATTTGGTGGGAGTTCCTTATGGGTATTTGATTTTGCTTTAATGAATGGTTTTTTTTTATGTTATAATCTGTTTTGTTTATGAAGTTTAATGCCTTAAGGTTGTAGGAGCTATGAGAACAACCATTCCTTAGGAGATTACTAAGTGTTCGAGAGAATGTCTAAGTATCACATCTTTAGTATTCGAGAGAAACTAGGGAGGAATCGCATAAGCAACGGGTTCTAGATAGTAACTAGGCTAAATCCACCTTAGAGATAAGGTTAGGATTTCATTCGACTAAAATGAGTTGTGCATGAGCGATATGTTAGATGTTAATGCTGCCGCAAAAAGGTATTGCCGAGACATATTATGTTATTTGGACCAATAGGATCCCTGCAGTAGCTAACGCCAACCGGTTTTACCAAGGCATATTTAATCTGTCGAGTCCCTTAACTAGAGATAGCATAGGGCACCCTTAGTAAACTCTGTCGGACATATAAGGCATAGAAGTAAGACCATTCTGAGAAGTAGACTTAAATTTCCTAAGTGACTCCTATCATTCATTCCCGTAGTAGCTTGTCGTGTGAGGAGTCTAAAGTCCTTATAAGCAAATCCATTATTTATAGTTTATTTTGCCTTTACATTTTCATTTGTTTGCACTCAGCACAATCCAATTTGCCACAACATTCTCATTCGTAAATAACATCACTAACTTTACTTAGGTGACAGAGTAAAGAGCTTTGATTGAACTTATCAATTTCCTCCAATCCCTGTGGAGACGATACTCACTCATCACTGTATTACTTGTTCGATTGTGTATACTTGCACATAATTCTGCATCCATATATAATAGTCACAACAAGTGGACAACTTTTCAGTTCTTTAAGCGTTGGAACCGTTCCTTTATTGCGTCGTTGGTAAACTGCGTTGAATATAAGACTCCAAGTTGTTGTGAGTGACGAGGGAAACACAAGCTTTGAAACTTTCAGGGTCGATTCTGTAATTTAAGCTTAGGGCTTTGGGGATTAATTCCCCAGTCCTGAAAATTCCTTGTTTCTTCATTTTCTAAAATTTGAAAATAATTTTCTAGGAAAACACCCAAAACGTCATTTTTATGTTTTCAGATTTCTACTATTTTTTTCATTTTCTATAAATCATTTTTTATTTTTATGACCAAACACATTTTATGAATTTTTTTACTTTTTAAGAAAATGAAAATACCCTTAATTTCTTAAAACCAAACATGCCCTTAGTTTTTTTTTCCATCAATTGAAGCAAGTCTTTAGCCCAAAAAAATCTACATTTTCCAACTTAGGTTATATATTTTGTATTTTAAATCAGTAAATTCTTAATATTTATCTAAACTTAAATTTAATTATTAAATTAAATTCACAAGTTAATTTTCAAAAAATATAAATTATTTTCATTGTAATTTAAAAATATATTTTATTTTATCTTTAACTTAAAATTATATATTATTCTTATTTTAAGTTAAAAAATATATATTTCAGTCTTAAGTAACTTAAATAATATATTTGTTTTTATCTTAAATTATTAACTATATTTTATTCTTATCTTAACTTTAACAAATATATGTTATTTTTATTTTTTTTTTAAATATTTTTTTTTATCTTAATTTAGAAGTATCCAAAAAAATATTATATATTTTCTTAAATTAAATATTTATATTTTTTTAGTTTATAAAAAATTGGTTATAACCTTTATTAACATATGTTGTAAAGCAATATTAATTGTTGGTTTTGGCTTGATGGTAAACCTGCTTGAGAACCTCTCTTTGAGCGGGTTCAATTCCTAGTAGCAGCAATAACACTTGTTCAACTCATTTTGTTACCAATTAAAGAGGTTGATTGGAGTGTAAATATATTGGTTTAATTTAAAATTATGATTAAATTGATATAATGTATAAATATTAAGGATTAAATGTATAATTATATTAATTTTATTAACAATCACGTCATCACTTCTGTCAAATATTAACAACAAGTGGTTTAATTGGATACAATTAAATAACTATGTGATCTGATTGACAAAATTAAAAAATTAATAGTAAAAGGGCTAAATAGTTTAGTGGTCATTCATATAGTTTACCCTATAAAATATTATGAATTTAAATATTTATAAACTAAGATACACATTATATACATCATGTTGTCTATTTTAAATCAAACATTGAATTTGATTGAATTGTTGGGTACAAGTTTGATTCTAATAAGTGACGCGAGTTTGAATCTCTTTTACTTTAATTTGCTTTACTTTGTTTTTTTTCAATCAAAGGGTGACATGTGTCACCCTATGATTACTGAAAAATAAATATATTAAATTGAAATAAAATTAGTTTTCTAAATGAATGGTAACACATTACATCATTTAATTGGATGATTAAATTTATTTTAATTTATTAAAAGTAACACTAAATTAAAAAAATATATAAATAACATAGACAAAATGTTTAATTTAACCATAATATTTAACAGCCGTGGTGATCATATATTATGTTTTTTAAAATCAACGGGAAAAAATGAACAAAACACAAACATAAGTAATTAATCATGTAATTGACCTAAATTAAAGGATCCAGTAAATTACAAGCCACGAAATGATTAGTTAGAAAAACATCAAATCCATGAACAAAACCGCTGGGGGTCCCCAGAAAATATTGGATCACTGACTATGGATCCATTATTCCCCAAGGATGGAATGCTGCGGGAGCCTTTCTACATTTGAACATTGATCCCATCTCATTCTTCTCCATAAGCACTGCAGGTTAATAACAGAGTGGCCCAGAAAACTGCTTTCCTCTGCTTTCAAGGAAGAGATCCAAATTCCTGTTGTGTTGATCCCCTCTTGTATGGATTGCTTGGTCCCCTGAAAATGGCATTACCATATGACGCTCACTATCGGGGCAGTAGGCGTTCTCCTGTCCGTCCTGCATTGCAAGGTCATCATACTCTTCATCTGACATTGTTGAGCCTTCATCAACAGAACCTACCTATACAACAGAAATTTAGTAAACCCCACGCAGAATCTTTTAAAGCAGTATATAAGACCTTATTTCATCCTGAAGACCTACGAACAAAACTCTATACCGACTGGACAGCAGAACCTAACGTCATTTTGATCATGCAACTTTCCAAAAATGTATCAGTTAAACAAGCTTAAGATGTTGATAAACAACATTTATAATGAACTAATAACAACTACTCCAGGCATAGCAGTTTGCAATACCTTTGCAAATATTCTCTAAAATCAATGAGTTCATACCTCTTCATGGACCTGTTTGTCACCTTCATCACTAACATCCTCATCACTGTCCACCTCAGGTGGATCATCAACTTCTTCATCGCTGCCATACACCGAATTTTCCTCCTTTAGCTGTAAGATAAAATAATAAATCAGTAGACCGAGCCTAGTATAAGAGCAATGATAACTTGAGATTAGTAGCCATAAAAGTGACTTCTGTTTTTTATTTCATCTAATTTGACATATGCAAATCAAAGATCACTGCAAGCATTGGTGTAAGATACTACCTCCTTTGAAGGACAATCAGACATCCTCGGCGAGCTGCAGCAGGAAGATTGATATCTACTGCCATTATCAGTCCCATCAAATCTCGACTCATCTACACTTCCAGCATGACTTGTTCCACCATCACTAGGCCATGTACTAATACCATAGGGACCAAACTGAAGATAAACGGGTTCGGCCTTGCCAATTGTTAAAGGTCCATACAAGGGAATGCCATTACTTTCAAGGGATTCGACTGACCAAGCCTTTGCCACAGATCCATCGATGTTCAGAAGAGCCATTAGTCGCCTAGAAGAACCATTTTTCTGGATCAACTGAAACATACCCTCAGAGCTCAGTGAATTGGCAGCACACTGATTCCGGTATTCCTCATCAACAACAGCAACTGTATTTGTTATGGGATCATACAGTGTTTCCCCAGCTTCACGCCTCCGGAGGCAACTGAAAACTGTTGCATGTATGGCCGCCACACTTTTGTCAACATTTGTGTTGTTTATTTTGGGGACATAATGCTTGTCTGCACGATTACATAGATAATCTTGTATTGTCCTGATATTCCTTATATATTTCACGTACTTATTTTTAGCAGGATCCAATGTCATGTACTTTGCACGAACTGCAAATCTTTCCAAGTGTTTGTCTTCATTTGTAATGTAAATCATGAACGGTATGATTGAGGGGTGTTTCTTCATAAGCCCCATCTGCACATGTAGATAAAATAAATGAATTTAAAAATAAAAGGAGAGGAGAATGAGCACATTTGATGGCAGGGAATCAACCAAATGTCTACTCACAACAAAATTAAGGCTTAAGTGAACACCCTCAACCACTACAGACTCTTTCCTCTCTTCCCATGAAGTAATTAGTCTGTCTAGACTGTCAATAACCATTTCACTTTGTGCCTTGAATCCTTCAACTGCCATCTGTCTGAGGCCAATCAATTCGGTACTAGTAGAACTACTCTCCACTGGTCGGGGATCAGACTTTCTGGCTGAAGAATGGTCAGTTAGCTCACTGTTAGAAAGTGACCGAGAATTGCCAGCCAACTTTTTGGCTCTTTTTTTATCCTTAGCTTCTGCAACCGCCACAGGATCTAAACACTCCCCAGCATGGTAGGTTGAAGCCCAGAGTAAAGGATTTTCCTTCTCATCTACAAAACTCCTCATCATGTGGCGAATAGAGTCTGTTGAAATCACAGTTGTAATTCCCAACCTGCTACCCTGCGTGCCATGATCAAAAGCACTAAGATCATATGAGGATGTAGTCAGGGCAGCTACTGCCTCCCAACATTAACGTGCAAAACAAGCTTACCAGCAAAGCAGACAAAGTAGATTTGCCACAACCGCTAGTGCCACACAACAACACGGTAACAGATTCCTTCTTCTCTCGGATTCTGCAGTGAAGACCAAATAGAGTTACAAGGGGGACAACACATGCTCCATTTAAAAAATATGGAATACTTGTGATAATGGAGAAAATCATGATGGAGTATTCTATCTACTGAAATATATTCTACAAACATTTTTTCATGTCAATTAAAATAGAACAATAAAGTGTGAACTACCCATATCCAGGCTACCATAATCAACTTCAGAAATTTCCAAGAAAAGATGAAATTTTGAAGAATAGATGGATATGCCCATGCAATAAATTAATGTGGCATGCATTATTGCAATTTCTTTTGTTAAGTATGATATGTAACACAATACCTGCAAGCCAAAACCAGGTCAGCCCTCTGGTTTGGACCAACATACTTGTATTCAGCCAGAGCATCACAGACAACATCTAAGAAAGTTTCTCTTTTAACAATTAACGATGTACGTCTTTTGTATAGCTCAAATGGTATATGCTTATTTCTATCGCCTTTGATTGAAGCTAAACTGTTGCCTTCCTCTGCTCTACGAAATCCATCAAAGGTAGGACATGCATCTTCCTTATCAGAGTATCCTTTCAAACTATCAGAATTCAACATCACACGTTCCTTTTGAAGCAGTGAATTGTAAGAAGGTTCCCTTCTTATCAATTCAAAAACCCTCTTGCTAATCTGGTAAGAAATACAAGTGTATTCAGCAAAAGAAGCCACTTTCCATAACAGCTAAGGAACAAAAGAGAAAACCACTAATGTGAAACTAGAAAATTAAATATGAAATGACATATCACAACAACCCAGAATAAAATAAAAGCAGACAAGGATTCAGATAGACGAAATGACAAGCCACAAACTCAATGTGACAATGTGAATACTTATATGAAGCAATTGATTCAAGTCTCAGACTCTCACTGAACATTATAATCAAGATTTCTATCTCCCGACAGGAAGCTTAATGTAATTATGAACTAAAATAAAACAAATAACATGCATATCACCAGGCAAGCAAATCAGTCAAGGTAAAGGGACCACAAGGTAGACCAAGATCCAGAACACGGATATGACCACAAAAATGGAAACAAATCAGAAGTGATTCATGTTAATTGATTTTGATCATTTGCGAAAGTGTGAAAACTTTTCCGGAAATAAATAGGAACCTAAGAGCTAATTCATTCAAGCGTCTCGTTTTAGAGGTATAATGAGAAGCTATAATCAGTAAAAAATCTATGACGACGGCAGAATGCTTATTCTTTGACAAACTGAAACAAACAAAAAATGCTACTGTGAGATTGTTAAATTTAGCATAGATTGACTCGACATTATAACTTAAAAGCAACTAAAAATAGGGGAAATGTATAGAACAAATTATAAGAAAGCCAGATCTATGAACTCATCATCCGCATTTTTACTTTATTATTTCATAACTATAATTTATCAATCAATCAAACCAAATAGAAAAGAAGAAACTAAAAAGGTACATCAAACGGGAAAAAAACAATTCAGTGAAATCAACGAAATTGTGAGAAGTAAAAAGAGAATAAAATGAAAACCTTGAAGGCATGACGAGCTTTGCAGCCCATAAGTTGGAGAGTGCTTTGAAGAACCGGACGCGTGTATCGGAACGACGATGCCTCCTCCTTCGTCTCACCTTCGTCGACCGCCAGTATGTACAATACCTTCGCCAACTCTCCCATCTTCTGTATCTCAGTTCAACAATAAAAACAAAATCAAATAAAAACATCGAAGTTTAGAAATAACGCAATGTAGGAGAATCGATGAAGAGCAGCTGAGAAATCCAACCTGGAATTATATACAGAGAAATCAGCCGAACGGACGAGAGAGAGGATGAACTCTTAAGGTTTATTTTGTCTAGAAATCATGAAATGCAAGAAAATCCTGTTTGAAGTAGAGAAGAAGAAAAGCAGAGGGAAATCATTGACAACGATTTGTTGATCGAGTCATCACACGAGCAAACAAGAGTCGTTTGTTTCTTTACGCAAACACCGATCGGAGGAACGATTGCAGGGGAACAAAAAAGACTGATATCACCTTCTGTCGGAGAAAGAATTACGTTTGTTTTCGAGGGAAGCAGGAATCGGGAAGAAGGGTATTTATATTTGTAAACTGAATTGGGGTTGAGTGTGGAGCCCTTCTACTGGCACGTATAACGAGGAGTGGCAATTGAAGTAAATCCAAAGTAGAATAGGATATAAATATGGAAAATCCACATTCTTATTATTTATTTTTTTTAAGTTGATGGATCCAACTGCCGGAAAATTATATATTCTGAAACCGCGTAGCCTACGCGGGTAGCTCATACATTTATAAAATAGAAGGCAATTAGAAATACTTAATTTGATTTACAAAATTACATAATTGATTTACAAGCCATGATCAAGGAGATAATTTTACTTCCCTTTTCTCTTCTTATTTTTATCTTTTTCACGTTTAAACCAGAGTTAAACTAGTAAAATATTATCTTTATAAAAAAATTATAAAAATTTGCATTCTAATTCTTTTTTAAAAAAAATAGATGTTACAATAAACACCAAAGTATTCATCGTTAGAGTCGGTATTGGCACAGTAATTGATAACTGTCAACAATTTTTTTTACATTCTATACCGATTATCAATCTATTAATATTGTAGACTCATTTTTATCCGTGTCTTTTTGTTTTTATTATTATTAGTTATTTTTATTATTAATTACATTATTTTGTTCAGGTCCCAACTTGAAGCCCAACTCAATTATAACAGAACCCACATACAAATCCATCAACCCACTCGGGTGACACGGTTCCAAGCCCAACACTCAACCCAACCCGAAGGGAACCGATCCAGGCCAGTACTCAGCAACACATATTTGAGTTAGGGTTTCTAAACCCTAATGTATCTCAGAAGCCAGTCACCACCGTCGAACCCTTCAGCTTCCTCATCGACGCTTTAGGCTTCATTGTCCATCACTCCAGTCGCATGAGTTGCTACTGCAAGTTCCCGAGCCACCATCTTCATCAAGCCGTACCTAAAGTGACCGAAAATCTATCAAACAGTGACCAAGAAAGAAGTCAATCAAAAAATCTCATCAAATCCAAGAAACTATTGAAATCTGAAAAACCTAAGCCTAAGGAAATCATCCCCATACGCAGAGATTGTCATATCTACTCGAAAACATTAGAAAAAGAAAAAGGAAATCAAATCTTAAGAAAGGGAGAAAATATAGAGAGAGGGGAGCCAAAAAACCCCGAAGAAGAAAAAAAAAAGATATCCGAAAAAACAAAGGAGAGAAGTCGAGAGATCTAGAACCCAAAAAAACAACAAAGAAAAGAAAAACATAAAAAAGGAGGGCATACCTTTATTCTTGATTGGATCTGTGGTCTCCATCGAGACAAAGCTCTCGATTTTAGAAGGTAACCTCTAGTCTTTTTTAGATCTAGGACAAAGGGTTGTGTTTTAGGGGGTTTAGACTTGATTTTCGAGTTAAGGGTGAGAGGAGAAAGCTTTTGGGGTTGTTTGGCTCTTTCCGACGACCGTAAACCACCGTGAGCTGTCGTTAACCATCGCCAGAGGCGGTGTCCCTCTCTCTCTACGAGAGGAGTTTGAGAGAATCTCTCTTTTTCTCTCTCTCCTCTTGTTTAAATGAAAGTGGACAAATGGGGAAGGGCTTTCTGCGCGTTTTCTGGTTAGGGGATAATAGCTTGTTTAGTCCATGTTTTTTGTAAATCTCACCCATGATTTTATTTCTTTGGGGATATTTATAGTGTAGACCCCCTTCTTTTGTAATTTCATTTTTCAGTCACTTAATGAATTTTTACCTTATTTTATTTCGAGCGGTTATGTTTTAGTATTTATGTTTTAGTCCCGTTATTATATATTATATTATTCTTGTTAATGTTTGATTTTGGTAATGATATTTGTAAATCTTTTATTTTAGTCACTGCTATACATTTGATTTAATTATTATTTGGCCTTTTTTCTGGTTTATTTTATTTTAGTCCCAAATGTTATTTATGGTTTATTTTCATTTCCATTTCCATTACCTATAATGTGTAATGTTTTCAATCTTGACTCTGGTTTGTTTTTTATTATTGTTCGATCCTTTTGTATTTTGGTCCTTGGAATTACCAAATACTTTCATTTTGACCATTGTATTTTGGTTTGTAATATTCATTTGTTTTTATTTCAGTCCCTTATGCATGTAAACATTTTACATGTTATGTAGCCATTTATATCATATGTAAATAAATATGTTTAACTCTATTTATTGTAAATATTTTATTTCACATGTTTCCAATCGCATTTGTTTCTATTGTATTTCCTTAACTATTAATATTATTCAAATATTTTCAAGAACTGCATTTGTAGAACGGACGTGGAAAGTATCACTTAATCGGAGTGTTGCAATCTGATACGACGTTAGAATAAAATGAGAGCTTGAAATGAATCAAAGCTATTTTAGTTCTAATTAATCAGTTTTAATTCAAATGATGTAATGCATGTTTTAAATAGCAATTTTTGTTATTTTACGCAAATGTCAATTTTCAGTTTATATATTCGATACGCATTTTTATCGGGGAGGGAATATTATTTACATATAAGAAATAGGCGAATAGCTTTCCCGATGGAGGATTGCTAATCTCGAGATTTCTTTTCAATTTAAAGAATTTTATCTAATTAGTTAATTCAAATCAAATTAATTAAACTTTAATATATGCATCATATTCTAACCTTATATTCGATTTATATTTTCTACCATTTACGACTATGTGTAAAAGATTTAATACCAATTTTTTGGCGCTGCGGGGATGCTTATCCTTCCCCACACGTAACTGACTTCTGGACCTGTTAAATCGATTTTTTGGTAAACGCAGACTAATTTTTGTCTTAAAAATGATTTTTTAAAAAAAATATTTTATAAGACATTTTTATGTATTCGACCTACCTAACCCTAAAGGTTGATGGCGACTCTCTTTTAGTTTAATTCAAATTAATTCAAAATCTCCAATTTTTCAAATTAAAGTCATAATTGTTTTTCAAAAAAATGGTTATTTCAGATATCATTATATTTATATCCTTCTGTTAATATTATTTTTGTTCATTGGTCTTGAAATTTTTGAAAATTAAACTTGAGACTTTCTAAAGAAATAACTTGCTTTTGAATGTTTTGCGAATTCTCTTAAAAGATCGGCGTTTTTCCCGAAAAATCACTGGTGACTGGTATATTTACCGATCTAACACCGGTCAGACTATATTTCCCGATCTAACACCCTTTGTAATAAAGCGTGCCCCCTGCACCGCGCTATATGTTGATTTGGCGCCACGTGGGGTAAGGCGTGCCTCCTGAACCGCGCTATATGCTGACATGGAATACACGTGGGTATAGCGTGGCCCCCGGAGCGCGCCTTACGCCACATAGGGTATAGCGCGGGTTAGGGGCCACGCCTTACCTTTAATTCTCTGATATAATTATATATAGCACGGGACAGGGGCCGCGCCATACCTTTAACGGATATAATTATAAAAGGCACGGTGCATGTATCGCGCCTTGTATAATTATAACAACTTTTCTCGGCTATAAATACCCTTTTCCCCCGGTTAAGTTCCTCACATCTCTCCTCTCAACTTATAAATTAATACAACAATTCCGTCAACGAGTCAATAATTCTGACAATTGTCTCATATTTAATTCAGAAGTTCGTGCGATTTTTTGTTATAAGGTAATTTTGTGATAAATTTTTTTATTATACTTATTGTTTATTATGATTATTTGAAAAAATATTACACTAATTGTTGTCAATTAATTTCTGTGTTTGTAAAATTAGAAAGCGGGAATATACGTCGAAATAGTTTTGCGGTACATGTAATAATATAAAATTATATTATTTAAATTATTTACGTTTATGTGTAAAAAATTTATTATGTTATATTTTTGTTCATATATTATTTATTTAATCAGCATTGTTTCAGTTATTTTTTTTTTTGCAGATATAATGTGTAATGTTTTCAATCTTGACTCTGGTTTGTTTTTTATTATTGTTCGATCCTTTTGTATTTTGGTCCTTGGAATTACCAAATACTTTCATTTTGACCATTGTATTTTGGTTTGTAATATTCATTTGTTTTTATTTCAGTCCCTTATGCATGTAAACATTTTACATGTTATGTAGCCATTTATATCATATGTAAATAAATATGTTTAACTCTATTTATTGTAAATATTTTATTTCACATGTTTCCAATCGCATTTGTTTCTATTGTATTTCCTTAACTATTAATATTATTCAAATATTTTCAAGAACTGCATTTGTAGAACGGACGTGGAAAGTATCACTTAATCGGAGTGTTGCAATCTGATACGACGTTAGAATAAAATGAGAGCTTGAAATGAATCAAAGCTATTTTAGTTCTAATTAATCAGTTTTAATTCAAATGATGTAATGCATGTTTTAAATAGCAATTTTTGTTATTTTACGCAAATGTCAATTTTCAGTTTATATATTCGATACACATTTTTATCGAGGAGGGAATATTATTTACATATAAGAAATAGGCGAATAGCTTTCCCGATGGAGGATTGCTAATCTCGAGATTTCTTTTCAATTTAAAGAATTTTATCTAATTAGTTAATTCAAATCAAATTAATTAAACTTTAATATATGCATCATATTCTAACCTTATATTCGATTTATATTTTCTACAATTTACGACTATGTGTAAAAGATTTAATACCAATTTTTTGGCGCTGCGGGGATGCTTATCCTTCCCCACACGTAACTGACTTCTGGACCTGTTAAATCGATTTTTTGGTAAACGCAGACTAATTTTTGTCTTAAAAATGATTTTTTAAAAAAAATATTTTATAAGACATTTTTATGTATTCGACCTACCTAACCCTAAAGGTTGATGGCGACTCTCTTTTAGTTTAATTCAAATTAATTCAAAATCTCCAATTTTTCAAATTAAAGTCATAATTGTTTTTCAAAAAAATGGTTATTTCAGATATTATTATATTTATATCCTTCTGTTAATATTATTTTTGTTCATTGGTCTTGAAATTTTTGAAAATTAAACTCGAGACTTTCTAAAG